CTCATTGGACTTGCCTCACTACTTTATTGTTTAAAGACCATGATAAACTTTTCATACTTAACTGTAGATGGTTCAATACTGTTTTTTATAAATCGCTAAAGCGTTTTAGGCAAAGCAGTATGGCTGGATTGCTTCTGTGATGTGTTATTTAGTGACTGTATCTCACGATGTCTTGGCTGACTGGGTCTGCCTAGAGTATATTATCTTGGACTCATTTTGCCTGGTTTTCTGCAAATGCTTCTTTACATATATTAAAATATGATAAAATAGTAAGCTTTTAAAATTAAATGAGTGTAAAATAAATAGAATGTCGATGTGGCTCTAATGGTTTTTCTTGCAATACTGTTTGTCTTAATGATCACAGAAGGAGAAAACGCTGATGTTTTCAGGATGTTGCACAAGTCCATTTCCTCCTGAGTGGTTTCAGGTTTACCTGATGGTAGTTCAGGTGGGTCTCCTGGTTTTCTTATCAGTGCAGAAAAGATAGTTGAAGGTATGGTGTTTCTGCTGGAAGCATTGTAAGGAGAAGGGCCTCCTCAGGTTTTGAAATTCCTATCTGTCCACCAAGATTCAAATGATTCCCTCCTTAATTCCAGGAAAACCACCTCAATGGAAAGCCTTTCCTGACTCTTGGGGGTTTGGAGAAGCAGTGCTTCCACCTAAAGCCGGTTTTGTTGTGAGCTGACTTCAGATGCATTTTTTGCAGTTTACCCTACAAAGTTTTTGACTGAGTTTTTGTTCCTGGTGATTTTCAAGCCCTCTGGTCCAAGTTGCACAGTGAATGTCTTGGTCGCCTTTAAACCTGGCGCCTTTTCAGTTAACTGAGGGTTAAACTAAGGGTTTGTGTGTGCTGCTCCAGAGGCCGTATTGTCAATCCTAGAGGAAACGGTATCTGGGAGAAAGTGTTTGAGGTGTGGTAGCAAAAGCCTTTGAAATCCTTTAGCATGAAGGCTGTATTTCAGGGTAAGGTGCTGTAGAGAGAATAAGAAAATAAGCCTTGGTATTACAGTTAATTACTTTATCAAGGATGTGTGTTCAAGAGAGGTTAAGTTCTGCTTTTTTACTTTAGAACTGGCATTTCTGTTTAAAAATACAGTGTCGTCTGCTACATATCCCTTATCAGGAAGTAAGGTATTTCTGTGTGTAATGCAAATATTGAGATAAGTATGGAAACCATAAAGAAATGGCCTTTCGGTTGAGACCAGCTGCTCTGGAAGGAGGACAGGCTGGGTAGTGGGGGTGTTTACCTGTACCATCTGTCTCTGTCTGAACTTGATAGCATTTTACGAATCTCCTTCCCTTCAGTTACTCCAACGGCTGCTTTTGGAAGTGCTTCTGTGCAGGAATTGTGCTGCTGTTGACATGTGCTACCTGGTATTAGGTGTCGTACGGGCATGCAGGAGAAAGTTTTCCCTTTTAACAAAGTTGCAGTAAAGTTGGAAAAGCTACTGATCTTTTTTTTTTTTCAACCCTACCTTTTTATTTCTTCAATTTAAAAGGATTTTGTGGTTGAGAATATAAATATTTTTTTCTGCCAATTTTGTACTCCTAGTCCTAGAAACACCAACACTGGGCACGTGTGAGTATACATGTTTATGTTTGTACAAATGTGGCTGAGGTCCTTGACTTCAAGGTTCATGAGGTAAAGAATTGGCACAAATATCCCCATGTTATTCACTTAAGCTTATGGGTCACTACCTTTTGTTGTCTACATTACTTTGCTGATGAATTGAGATGGAAATGTTTTCTTAGTGAAGGCAGATAGTGTAGTTCAGATTTATTGCAATATTAAAGCTTTAAAAAAAGCATATGCCCTATGTGTTATATTGCATTAGCTAGCTACTCTGTATCACTTGAAAGCACTTCACAATCTATAGTTTCTAAATTTTCCCATGATGTGCAGTCAAGATAAAATGAGGTAATATTGATGTGATATCCTGAACTTATTATGATCAGCGTATTGCATCAGAAATAACGTGACCTGTTTGAAGTAAGGGAATGTAAACAGCACATGTTTATTTGTAGTTTACACAGTGATTTTCTTTTCTTAATTAAGGAAAACATTAATCAGAAGTAAGGAAAGTTGGGACCTAGGGAAGGCAGCAGGAAAGCAGACATTGGGTAATAGGGGAAACACTGCACAAAAACTTAGGTTTTGTAAAAAGGGATACTCAGATGTTCCCCTCAGCTGAGTTTTACGTTTTCTGTTCTGGTTCAGATGACTTGTCACACAGTTTCTGGTGTGTGCCTGAGAACCCAGCCAGCGCCCTTCAGCCCACCGAAAAATCTGCGTTACTTGACTGTTCTTATTTTTTTTTATTAATGGCCTAGGCTGGAAGGGACCTTAGAGATCATTTTAATCCAGCCTCCCTGCCTCCAGGGACGCCACCTCTCAACTAGATCAGGCAACACATGGTACCGAACGGGAATCGAACCCGCGACCTTGGCGTTGTTAGCGCTGTGCTCAGCTGACTGAGCTAACCTGCCGTTTATCATGCTTGTGTCATTTTGGTCATGGTTGGAAGTGGACGGCAGAGCTCAGTGCTGCTCTCTTAAGAGATCTGCAATGACGTTTGTTTTGACTTGGCATATATTGAAAGTGTTCTTACAGTTGAAAATAGGAGCTTGGATTTTGGGGAAGTGGATTCTAGTTTAATTTCTGACTCTTGCTCTGTGTCCATTTTCTTCACCACTGAAGTGAGGTTACCTCAACTTCCCATGATGAACAGCGTGTGATTCTGTAAAGAAGGCAGTGTAACTTTGATACTTCAAAGAACTGGATAGCATCTCTGATTACCAACATAAAAGGAAATAATACCCAAACTCAGAAATTAATTTTTTGTAATATTTCTCTTCCCTGTGCTCAGAATGATGTTTTCACCTTTAGATTATGTTTTTCTAGTGGTCTGACACTCAAGAGACCTAATCCCACTGAATATATTTGGGAAAGAATGAGTTATCTCCTTTTGGGGCATTATTCTGAAATTTAAGATGTGTCAGTATGGGAAAGCCGATATGGGTAGTACAGGAACTAAGAATGTAGTAGTCTTAATTAACATCTTGGCTTTACTGTTCTTATTCTGGACTAAGTGTGCAATTTAGTTTAAAAATAAAAAGCTTCATTTGTTTGGAAGATAGATCTCTTCTTAGTCTGGAATATCCACAGGATTAAAGCCACACAGGAAAGAAAGCTCTGCTCTAAAGAAGACTAAAGTATTTATATTTAGATTTTACATTCCATTCATGTTATCTTGTTTTTGAATGTACATTATTGGAACGTACAGCACTAGGAAATCACAATATGGCTGGAAAGACATTTCCATTCAGTAGGTTTCACTGAGAGATGCTATGAAAACTATCCTCAAGCTGGTTTGTGTGGGAAGGCCTGAGGGGTTTTTTCTGTTTGTTTGTTTGCTTGGATTTTTTTGTTGTTTTTTAAAGGCAGTGACTTAGAAGCTTGGCCTTTCTGAAGGAGCATAAAATTAAATTGCAAGAGCACACTTTGATTTTTACACAAATTCTCTCAATTTACCATAATTCCAACTTCATCTGGGTGCTTGCCTGGGATCTTAAAACATTTTAAAAATGCATGTAATTATGCTGATACAGTTCCTCATGTGGCTGCCGTTATATCTTCGTAAAAGTTCCTCGATGCTGATAGAGGTATTAATCTGTGAAGAATGGAATAGATTTGAACGTGTGTCACCCTTTTAGTGATGCATTGGGCATTCAGACACCATTAGCTGTAACAAACTTTTTAGTGTGAGGGATGTCCTAGCTCAAGAAAGAACATCTGAGCCGTCCTTCCTTGTTGCTCTTGCAACAGCACCCTCAGCCTCGTCCTGTGAAGTGCTGAGCACCCTCCCGCTGGGTGGGAGCTGCCTGGGGGGACAGCCCTTGGCACATCCCCACTGGTACCACCTTTCTTCCTCTCATACCACCTTCCTTCCCCTGACCCTGGGGTGTGACTCTTCTGTTCTTCTCCTTGGCCACGCTCATGCTAAGCTCCGTAAAATGATGAGCAAGATTTTTTTGAACATGCCGCAGTGCTTTTCACGGCAGCGACTGTGTGACTGTATGCTAATTGTCGTCCTCTGCTGGGGAGCTGGTGTGGCTTTTTGCCACCAAAGCTATTTTAGTGCAGCTTCGGCGGTTTTTTTGACAGTCGAAATGAAGATTTCATCTTCATTGCAATCTGTTTATCTGCCTGTTTTAGAGCAGACAGTGCGGTGTGTTTGTATTTAATAATTTCTGTAGTTTAAAGCCTGAGTCAGTGAAGGCCAAGCATTCTGCATGCATCATGCTGCTTGATACATGCATGTGGATGGCAAGGGCCTCTCCAGCTCCCATCTCACGTCTCCGCTGACTCTTGTGCATGGACAGCAATAAGAACCTCGGTACAGCGTGGGCGGAGCTGTAGCAATACACAGTTGCCTCCTGCGCATAGGCTATGTGAAGTAGAGTGAACATCTCTATCTGGTTCCCAGCAGACAAGAGAAGCAATTGTGAAAAGCCTCCCAGGGTGATCCCAGCTAAGGGTGTGGATTAGCCATGAGGTGAATCCTGCCCTCTAAGATGAAACTGATTTATGCACTAGGCTCTTATAACCTCCCTCATGCTGCTTTTCTGGGTGCTTCAGGCCACTCTGGTCAGTCAGCTCTTCTGACTAGGGTAAATTATCTGAATATGTTTTGCTTTACTGTCTGTCACTGTCCAGTTTTAGTGCAGTGTACAAGAATCCTATCTGTGATGCCCGTAAGTCTCAAAAATGCCGATGGGTGCACGGAAAAGGCAAATTATGCATGAAATGTATAGTGTTGCTGTGTTTGAACAATGCAATCTGTAGGTGGCTAAAGGGCTAACTAAATTGCAGGCATAATGAAAGCTCTGTGGTGTTTAGTATATGTTCTGTCAGCATTAAACAGTCACCTTGTAAATATATGTTAATTTTGAAGGTGTAACTGACCTTTTTAATATTAATTGAAATGTCTCGTGTTTAGAGGTTGGCGCTATCCTAGAAGAGACAGAAGCCTGTGACTGGTGGAGCCTGGGTGCCATTCTGTTTGAACTCCTCACCGGGAAGGTAGGGCTGCGGGCAAATTACCTGATAAAACTGACGTCTTTGCCGGTAGTGTCTCAGAAGTGTTGTGCCCACTCATGATTTACTTGCTTGTCTTTCTCAGCTGTGCATTGCCAGCCCGAGTACCCTCAATTTGCTTGGTCTGCATGGAACCAGAAAAGTGAAACAGGCTCAAACTTCAGCAGAACATCTTGATAAAGCCATATCAAACTCGAGACTGAATATTTTAACCCAGAACCATGCTGCTCTCTTAACCGCAGTGAAATCGAAGTTTTCTAACATTCCTTCTGTACAATTAGAAAATTTTTACCCAGATAGTTTCAGTATTGTTTCCTGGAATGGTGTAGAAGCCATATGTTGCTTGTTACACCTTAATTTGGTATTTTGAGACAGAGTGCTGAGCCAAATCAAACTGGTGATTACTTGACAGTTCTCCATAAGGAGAGCAAAGTCTACCAAATTCCCACATTCTTCAGGTTTAAGCAGTAGAACAGAAGCAATAAGATGTAAATGTTCTAAAACATTATTTTTGTAACATCAGTGCCTGTAGGCTTTCCTCCCAGAATCAGCACTGAAATTTTAGCTGTGTGTGTTAATTTGCATGTATACTAGGAGATATCCAATACTACCATTTTTTAATTAATAAATGTATCTGTCTGATTTATTAAATTATTTTTTTTCTTCTCCAGACTCTGGTTGAGTGCCATCCATCAGGAATAAGCACTCACACTTCTTTGAGTATACCAGACCATGTATCAAAGGAGGCCAGATCACTGATCCAGCAGGTAATTGGGGGGAATTTTGTTCTATATAAGTACATGTGTAGACTAGAGAAGTACTTACCTACCTAAGGTTTTCTGGTGAAGTAATTGTGAAAACAGAAACCTGCTGATAGGAACGTGGATAGACCTTTTGTCAGCACTGATGAATTTTGCCCAACTGTCTTGTTGCATCTGCAAACTTGACTTCTGCTGCCAGGTGTCTCTGTAGAATACTGGAGTGCTTTGCTATTTCTTCAGAGAACAGAGCTGGGTGTTATGGAAACACCTGCTGGTGATGCATGAACATTGTAGAAATTTTGCCCTAAATGTTCATGAAAATATTTGTAATGAATTGAACTAAAAAATGTTGATTCCAATTCAGCAAGATAACTCTGTGAAACCTGTAACACACTGATTAGGAGTTATGACCTTACTGTGGGTGAAAATCTATAGCTATCCTCCAGGAAACCTTCTGGATGCTCTTTGTTAAGTACTTTAAACTGTGAATGCAATGAGTTTTGTAATAAGAATATAACTGGTAGGTTGGGCAAAAGGAAGAGTAGAAAACCTTAAAATAGAGCAGCCTTCCAGACTGATACACCTTACCCACAATAGTGGGAATAGTATTGATCATTTTAGTTTACTCTTAGCTTAAGGTAGTTGTGACTGAGAGAATAAAGTTGTAGTACAGAGTCTTGAATTTGGGGTAATGCTGTCTTCTTTCTAGTTAATTTTGACATAACTGAAGAAGTGAAGCCACTTGAATGGAATAAGCGATGTATGTGAACTGTGTTGTTTGGCTTTGAAGATTATTTTGTGAGGGGATGCATAAATAATGACATGACTTAGATGCAGATTTGAACAGAGCAGGGTGGAAAAAATAGTTCTTGGAGAAAACGAAGGAAAGAGATTTTGAAAATGCAGTGAGTCAAGAGACCAAGTGACAGACTAATTTCTGTGCCATTACTGTGAAATGGTTAATGGAAATGGAACTACATGTTTGGACCTCCAGTTTTGACTAGGTGACATGAAGTTGCTGAAGGTGAAAGCGTGTGTCTGTGTGTTTCTGGCAAAGGTAGAAAAGGAAGTGGCTGAAGAAAAATCACATTTTTATATAATCTGTGTTTAGATGGCACGGAATTGTTACCCTCACCCACAGGTGCTGCTTGACTCAGATGGCTAAGGGAAAGCAAAACCACCCTTGATGAAGGGAATTCTTCCCTTTAAGACTAGAAGTGAAGACAGATGAAGTCATCTAGCCCATTTCTCCCTGCCAGCATAGGATTGTTACTCACTGGAAACTAATGTATTGCCTATTTTCGAATATGCCAGAGAGGGACTCTTTTGCCACTTGCAGTTTAAATGGCAAATATATTGCTGCCGTTCACAGATCTATTACAAGGTCATATCTATTCAGAGAACGGTCACCCCAGTGCCTGTTAGGTTAAGCCTTCTAGTGTAGAGTAGTGACTTATCTGGTGAAGGTTTGGCTATATGAGCTAGTAAATCATGTTTCTGTTGTGCAACTACCCAAGGAAGCTGCCATTCATTGTTGAGGAAGCCTTGTCAGGAAAAGGAAGAAAGCTCTGCTGGCATGGATAGCAATTTGTCATTGCGACTTTCCTTCCCACCACTGCCAAGGGTAAACAGGTCAAAGCATCACAGCATAACTCTCCGGGATCTATGTTCAGCTCTACAGAAAACTGTCAGATGTTGTCTCCTGCTGTCGCTTCCAGTGCAGGTGACTTCCTTGTAAACACCTCTTTGATTTAGCCAGCTTCTAAGAAAACAGAGATCTGATTATTTCTGCTGAAAGATGAAGTTTCTAATTTTATGTTTGTTTGGTATTTTGAACAGAGTATTTTTTTCCGGGCTTTTAATACCAATGCAATATGCAACATGACTTTTCAGTAGGTGTCTGTTGCAGTTTGTGTTGCATCTGCTTTCAAAGATTAAAGTTCTTCTGGAAGAACAAACTCCAGAAAATAAGTGCTTGTGCTTATTTTCCCCCTGCTGGTGCTGGTTTTGTTTCAGCAGAAGGCAGAGACACCCTGACTGCTTCTGTTTTTGCTGGCTTGTGGAAGATATCAGAGCAGCGCTATTCACTGTCACCGAGCTCCTCTGCTCTGTGACATTATGAGTGCAAATAGCAGAGCCACCTTAAAATGTGTAAATTCCTGTATTTATGGATGTAGACTCACTTAGATGTTGAGTGCATTAGATACGAATACATATTGTTCCAAGTGACAACTGGGAGAAGTTATCCTATTAGCTATTGCAGAAAAAGCAAGAAGGGACTCATGCCTTTGTACTGGCTGTAATTGAATAGAGTATAAACAGTTCTCAAAAACTGCAAAATATTTGTGTGTGTCTTTATTAGTCTCTTTGGAGTATTACCTTTGCATTCCCTTTTATATGGATGGGTATCTTTAAACAGATGTAAATATTGTGATTTCCTTTTCACACAAATTCAGCATGTGATATACAACTGAAAAGTAAACGAGGTGCTAAATTTTAGGAAATTTCCATGAAGCCATTAGAGTGTTTTGTTTCTTTCACTGGGGTTTTGATTTCTTCAGTTTTTGTCTATTAGTAGGACTTTTTAAAACTTTTATTTTTTTTTTTGTTGGCTAATAGAGAACTGGTTGTAATATCCTGGTATTTCAGGATGAACTTCCAATTTATGAAACTGAAAGGTACAGACCACTGTCCGTGATGTAGTTGTAATGCAGTGGTGTGAGCAAAGGTTAACATGAAGCAAACGCAGTGTCCAGAGTTCTTCTGATGCAGGCTCTGGCTGCTGCTCCTGTGCTGCTCCCCCCCTCCTTTTTTTTTTTCCTAAAAAAAAAAAAAGGTTACACTTAAAATGAAGTCCCAATGTGCAGTGCTTCAGGGAATTGCATGCTGTGATCAGTAGTCTCTGAAGACTGTAGCACTGAGACTCAAGGAAAGGAGAGTTGCCTTCCATTTACTAGATTTTAGGAATTTCAAGTATGCCTTTGCACTTTTGAAAGTAATTCATAGAGCAGGAAAACGGTAGGATGTCCATTACCTTAGACCTTTCTGGAACTTTTAAGCAGTTGTTTTTGTTCTGACTCACTGAGTCATATATATATTTTTCTTTTTATGTCAAGCTTTTGCAGTTTAATCCTGCGGAACGTCTTGGTGCTGGTGTTGCTGGTGTTGAAGACATCAAATCTCATCCATTTTTTGCCCTTATAGAATGGGCAGATCTGCTGAGATGAGAGTCGCGTGCCCTCTGAACAAACTCAGGTCAAGAGGACAAGTTTCTCTGGCGCAGAAGCACCCCGCCTTGCTTCCTTTGGATGTCCCAAACCACTCGGATGCAATGACTAAAGGACGCAGGAGCGATCAGGCTAAAAGGGAACACTTTTAACGGGAGTCACTGGCTGTGCAGGGTGCTAGCTCGTTTTTACAGCAACTGGTTGCTGCATGTGTCTTTTCACCAAAGGGTGGTTTGTGATGAAACTCTTGGGCAGCACACTTTGTGCTGCCAGCTTGTCGACCAAGTAGAAACAGGAATGTTCTCCTGGTGCTTTGTCTGATGATGGAAGTGTCTCTGGACTGGGCCAGTTTGAAGTGTCTTTTATGGTGCCAATACACCATTTCCCTGTGCTAAGTGCAGCTCGGGGCTGGGGTGGGTGGGGTGGGGGGGGAAGGAGCAAATAATTTATTCATGGTATATGCTGAATAAAATACTAAAATGCTTTATGCAAAAGCTGACACGTTAAAAATAATATGTCCATTAAAAATTAAGAAAGCTGTTGCATAATACTGTGGAATGTGTCTTGAAAATGGCATATCATTTCCCACTGTGGAAAGAGCATATAAAAGGCAAATAATGCTGTCAAATGTTGTACTTTGTTGGCTGGCAATGTCTCTTTAAAACTCTTGACTCTGTTGTATTTGATGAGTTACATGTTAAAGTCACTACAGAAAGGGAAATCTTCTTTTCCTCAGCTGGATAAACACTGCTTTAGCACTCTAATAAGGAGCAAGAAAACGTAATGCCAAGTAAATGTATAGATTTAAAAAGGAAAAACTCTTCGCTCACCGCTGCAGCCACCACTTTATCACTTAATGAACTTTACTTCCTCTAAGTGTCCTATTTTTAGCTGCTACTTCAGGAAGAAAACCTTACTGCTCGTGCTCTTCTGCTTGAGGAAGCTTCTGAACTCTGCTGTTTGTTTGTTAATAGTCTTAATAAATCAGAGAAAGCCTTCACCCACGCCTCTGCTCGAGCAGGAAGAAGCCTGGGATTTGCTCATGCCAAGTGACTAAGTGACATCTCTGAGCAAACCCTAGTGGGTAAGACTTGGGCATGGGCCAATTAGCTGACCTGTTTGTTTGTTAGAAAGGTCTGGAGAATGGGAGAAGAATAAAAGAATGCAGAATATTTTGCCGTGCACTGCTGTTGCTGCTGAGCAGCCATGCTTGTATGGGTTCCTGATGTACAAACGCTGTATGCTGCAATGCTTGTACAGATTATGGATCTGTGGGTTTTTTCCTAAATGTTCTCTTTTTTTTTTTCCCTTCTTCTCCCCAGCTTTATCCGGAGAACAAAGGGCAAATTCCTTTGGGAAAGTGAGGTGACAGCAATGATTATTGAATTTACAACTCAAAAAAAAAAAAAAAAAGGAAAAAAGTATCCGTCCATTTGTGTTTTAGCAGTGTATTTTATGGGCACTCCCAAAAGTGCATCTGCACAGTCTCCATCTGTTAGACACCAGGTCGGTGCATTCAAATAAAGTGGAAAAGGAAAATGCTTCACTTAAACAAAGGAAATCTGGAAACTTTTTTTTTCCTTTTAAAATTATTCCACTCCCCTCCTTTTTTCTTTCTTCCCTTTCTTGTGATCACCAGGCTAGCAGAGGGGCTGTAACAACACCGCAGGTTGTAACCAGGTCACTAGTATCACTGCCTACGGAGTGCTGTCCAAGATTACATCACTCTCAGAAACTGTGTTTCAACCTACCACCCTCTGGCTTCATAACAGGAACTCCCTCAGGTGAGCCACAGGAACAACTTCCTGTGCCGAGCGGGTCGGAAATCTCTAATGCGGAGACCAAGCTGATCCGGAGCTTCCTTCCAGCACTGCCCTGGCTGTGACTTTGGAGAGGGCTGGTTGCTCAAGGGAAGCCTCCCTTCCCTCGACCACCTGACTCCATCCCTGGGGCTGCCTAGCCCAGCCACCAGATAATACCATTGCCTATGTTGATCTATCCTGTGGCATTTGCCTGGCCATAACTGTGAAAAAATACATATTTTCCAAGTTACTTTAAAATGCTTACTTATTCAGGTTGTGCCCGTGTGCCACTGGCAAGCAAAGGCAGGGTAAAATAGCACAGGAGCACAGGCTGGTTTCTGTGAGCAGCAGCAGGAAGACACTGCGCTAGCAGAAACCAGGTGACCAGCCACTCACTGCAAAGCATTTGGTTTAGTTAACGACACAGGAATATTTCTATCTCAAGTATGCTAGTAATGAGGAAATCTACATCACAAAGACTAGAAGGAATGAGGCACTTTGCAAGAGGGCTTGCCAGAAATGAGCCTTGGAGATGGTACAGGGTTTGTAACCTTACCGCTGATTCGGATAACGGTTTTGCTAAAGGGAACGCAGTGTAGAGGTAACTGCACAGAAAAATCCTGCTTTTGTTTGGTTTTTTTTCCTCCTTTAACTTGTATTATGTTGTATTGGTGTTTACATGTATTCCTTGAATAAACAAAACCTTTCAAGCCTAATTCAGACCTCGTGTTTCTGAACTTTACATTTAGTTCTTGAGGATGATCCTTCCTACTCAATCAGTGGGTTTTGTCCTTGGCTTATATGACTTGAAATGTTTTAAATATCTTCTTTTTGGTGCCTTTTACAAAGCCCTGTGGTGCACATCTCTGTTTTGCTGACCATTAAGTAGTGTAAAGTCCATTCCACCTTCCTTCTGTTACACCTAATGGCTGACAGCAAAACAAATCAGTGACATTTTGTTCACAGGAATTAGTGAGAGTATGTAAAACACAGTAAAATAAACCTATCGATTTTCCTGTTCTCCTGTGGATGCTGGGTAAGGGAGATAACATGCTTTGGACATATCAAAGTGGTAATTCACTGAACCGTGTTGAACCACTCTGTAATGTTTTTGTATCCTGCTAAGACACAACTGGGAGACAAAACGTTTGAAGGCTTGTAGTGGGGTAGAATTGCTGTGAGGTGAGCCAGGGCCCCTGCTTGCACCTATGGAAGGAATCACATCTTATGAAATACAAGGGGCGTAACTTTGTTTGCTTTTAATGGCTATATTCACAGCTTCTGTGCTTCTAACACAGCTCCTACATCTCCTGTGAAAATCACCTCTCAGACAGCAGTCACTGTCACGTTGACTCTCCGCGCACCTTTGGGATGCTGAGTCGGCAGGGTTACCCGCACCGGAACATCCACCCGGCTCCTCTCACCGGTGCTAAACCTGTTCCTTGGTGCGTCCCTGCAGCGAAGGGCACTGGGATGAAGAAGGCTGGGGAGGTCAGCCTTCTCTAAATGAAGCACTCAGCATAACAAGGTACAGGGAAGTGCGGAGTAAACCGCTATGGGATTTTTTTTTATTTTTTTTTTCCTTTGAGTGTGGTGTCATTTGTTTTCTCAAGGACACCAAGTAGGAAGCCGGAGAAACAGAAACTTCCTTTCTGGTGAGATTTATGGTAGGGATTTTAGCAGTGAAATGGAGAAGTGCATTTGTTGATTTCTTCAGGTCTGTGCTTTCTGCATGGCTCTGCAGCTCTATGTACGCTAGCCGTTGTTGTTTAGCGTGTGCCACCAACAAATGGCAGCCTGAGGTGTAGCGAGGACCGGGCCGGGCCTGGGCCTTTGGCCACCCTGAGGAATTTCTGTATTGTTTCACCTCCAGGGGTGGAACTCCTGTGAGAGTGTCACGCCATGGTGCTGCAGGAAGACAAGCCCCTCGGCAAGGTCCTGGGGCTGGGGTGCAAGTCCCGCTCAGTGAGGGGGCAAGATGGAGGGCCGAGGGACTTGGCCAAACAGCGGTGGGGATGCTGGCAGCCACAGCGGAGGCATGGGTGTGCGTAAGGGGCTCAGGCAGCCCCCAGAACAGGGTGCCTTGTGCAGCTGCAGTTGGGGAAGGGTTGGCAGAGCCAGCTCCTGGAGGGGCAACGGGACTTGCTTAGAAGGTGCTGAGCAGCTGCTGCTGGCAGCGGTGGCTTGGGCTGGCAGCACACGGCTGTCTCCTGCGCCGCAGGGCCAGGAGAGGGTTGGTTGCTGCCTGAGCCATCTGTAGGAGCAGAAACAGGGAGCCCTGGCCTAAAAAGGTGAGGCATTCAAGAAAATCCCAACTTCTGGGTGGCAAAGCGGAGGAAGTGGTCCTACCTCCTGCTAGGGCTGTGTGGTGAAATCTCTGCCCTGCTGCTGGGCAGAGAAGGCTAATCAGGGTACAGCAGAGAAGGATGCTCCAGACTCCTGGCTGTGGGTGACAGCTTAACAGGCTGCCCCAACAGGACCTCACCGCCTCTTGGCAGACCAGAGGCATTTCTTCTCCAGAGGCAGCTTGGTGTCCATCTTCTTGGCCCAGGAACCCATCAGGAGGGATTAGAGCTGCTGCTGGAGGGCTGTGATGCACCATGATGGGCAGGAGGGCTGAGGAAGCGTGCAACACAGTGGGGAATTAGCATCCTCTTGGGAAGGCTGCGGGCAGTCGCCTTGACGCTTCACTGCTGAGATTCTAGGGTTGGCAACTTTGGGAAAAGTCCTTCTGGAGGCAATAAGCTAGAAAAGCCAGTTGGCAAGTGGTGGAGCAAGTGGGCCAGCCAGGAAAAGAGCAGATGTTGTAGAGGTCAGCGGTCTTCCTCAGCATAGCTTTGCTAACCTCGTTTTTCTTTGCCTTGGAGACAGAGCCGTTTTGCTTTGGTACAACATCAACTCTACTGGATTCTCCCATCTCCTTCCATGAGCTGAGCTTTTTATCCCCCGGGCATTTTGTAGGTTTGCCCAGCTGTCTCCATCTGTGTCCTGTGTTACGTCCTTCAGCCTTGGTCACAGATTTTCTTGGCCTTTCTGTGCCTTTGGTTCTGAAATGTTGCCCCAAAATGCTGGGACCCAGGAGTGGATTATTAGATGCAGCTGTTATCCCCATGTACCAATGAAAACAGAGACGATTACTCCTGCAAAATGAAAGCTCAGGGGTTGAAAAAGCATTAGGAAACGGCTTACCCCAGCAGCATGCGAGTAAAGAGAATTTTATGGTACCTCGTGCAGTGGTGGGATAACGAGGAAGGAGCCTCCACAAGAGGAGCGGGTGCTGAGCCATGATTTAGAGCGTGGCACTGGCTAGCTCTGCTCTGCTTGCGGTCTTGGTTGCGCACCGTGGTCTGACATTTGCCAGCTCATAATCATCCTTTACCAACCAGGCATGGAGAAGAGCTACTTAAACAGCATGGACCATGAGCCAAGTGGCATATATCCTTTCTCTATATTTTTAAATTTTTTTTTTTTTAACATCTTTTCCCACTACTCTGCCTCCTTGGGCTCCTTACTTTCCAGCCTCATGCCTGCTTTGACCTCAGAGAAGCCCTCTGTGACCAGCCTCTGCCCTCTCATGGTGTCCTGCCAGGCCCAGCAAAGCTGCGA